TGTCCCATGTCCTCAAACCTGTCCCCAAATCTTTCTGGTGTCCCCAAACCCATCTCGGTGTCACCGAACCTGTCCCCAAATCGGTCCTGGTGTCACTGTGTCACTGAACGTGTCTGGTGTCCTCAGACCTGTCCCGGTCCCGGTGTCCCCAAACCTGTCCAGGTGTCCCCAAATCTGCCCTGCCCTGTTCTGTCACATCCCTGTCCACAGGATCCAGATGTCCCCATGCTGTCCCCTCATGTCCCAATGTCCCCACGATGTCCCTGATGTCCCCCCGGTGTCCCCAGGAGCTGCTGAACAAGCCCAAGAGCGAGATGACCCCAAAGAACATCTCCATATCCCCATGTCCTCATGTTCCTTTGATGTTCCCCTGATTTCTGTGATGTCCCCATGGTATCTCCATGTCCCAATGATGTCCCCCATGTCCCCATGAGCTGCTGAACAAGCCCAAGAGCCAGATGACCCCAAAGAACATCTCCATGTTCCCACATCCCCGTGTTCCTTTGATGTTCCCCTGATTTCTGTGATGTCCCCATGATATCTCCATGTCCCAATGATGTCCCCATGGTATCCTGATGTCCCAGTGATATCCCCAGTGTCCCCAGGAGCTGCTGAACAAGCCCAAGAGCGAGATGACCCCAAAGAACATCTCCATGTCCTCATGTTCCTTTGATGTTCCCCTGATTTCTGTGATGTCCCCATGGTATCTCCATGTCCCCATGGTGTCCCCGTGTCCCCAGGAGCCTGCTGAACAAGCCCAAGAGCGAGATGACCCCAAAGAACGATCCCTATGTCCTCATGTTCCTTTGATGTTCCCCTGATTTCTGTGATGTCCCCATGGTATCTCCATGTCCCCCTGATGTCCCCATGGTGTCCCGGTGTCCCCAGGAGCTGCTGAACAAGCCCAAGAGCGAGATGACCCCAAAGAACATCTCCATGTTCCCACATCCCCGTGTTCCTTTGATGTTCTCCTGATTTCTGTGATGTCCCCATGGTGTCCTGATGTCCCCATGGTGTCCCCGTGTCCCCAGGAGCTGCTGAACAAGCCCAAGAGCGAGATGACCCCAAAGAACATCCCCATGTTCCTTTGATGTTCCCCTGATTTCTGTGATGTCCCCGTGATATCTCCATGTCCCAATGATGTCCCCATGGTGTCCCCGTGTCCCCAGGAGCCTGCTGAACAAGCCCAAGAGCGAGATGACGCCCGAGGAGCTGCAGAAGCGCGAGGAGGAGGAGTTCAACACGGGCCCGCTGTCGGTGCTGACGCAGAGCGTCAAGAACAACACGCAGGTGCTCATCAACTGCCGCAACAACAAGAAGCTGCTGGGCCGCGTCAAGGCCTTCGACAGGTGGGTCCTTGGTGGCACCGCGGTGTCACCTGGGTCACCAAGGTGTCCCCAGGGTCAGATCGGTGTCCCCTTGGTGTCCCCATGGTGTCCTCAGTGTCATCACGGGTTCCCCTGGGCCTTCAACAGATTCATCTTTAGGGTTTTCAATGTCCCCAAGGTGTCCCCAAGGGCTCCATGGTGTCTCCATGGTGTCCTCAAGTTCAGCTCAGTGTCATCATGGATTCCCCTGGGCCTTCAACAGATTCATCTTTAGGGTTTTCAATGTCCCCAGGGTCAGATCAGTGTCCCCATGGTGTCTCCATGGTGTCCCCATGGTGGCCTCAGTTCTCATGGGTTCCCCTGAGCCTTCAACAGATTCATCTCCAGGGTTTTCAATGTCCCCAGGGTTACCTGGGTCAGATCCGTATCCCAATGGTGTCCCCATGGTGTCCTCAGTGTCACCACAGTGTCCCCATGGTGTCCCCATGGTGGTCTCAGTTCTCATGAGTTCCTCTGGGCCTTCAACAGATTCATCTTTAGGGTTTTCAATGTCCTCAAGGTGTCACCTGGGTCACCAAGGTGTCCCCAGGGTCAGATCAGTGTCCCCATGGTGTCTCCATGGTGTCCCCATGGTGGCCTCAGTTCTCATGGGTTCCCCTGGGCCTTCAGCAGATTCATCTCCAGGGTTTTCAATGTCCCCAAGGTTTCCTCAAGGGCTCCATGGTGTCCCCACGGTGTCCTCAGTGTCCCCATGGTGTCTCCACAGTGTCCTCAGTGTCCACCATGATGTCCCCATGGTGGTCTCAGTTCTCCCAAGTTCAGCTCAGTGTCATCGTGGGTTCCCCTGGGCCTTCAACAGATTCATCTCCAGGGTTTTCAGTGTCCCCAAGGTGTCCCCAAGTGTCACCTGGGTCAGATCCGTATCCCAGTGGTGTCCCCATGGTGTCCTCAATGTCCCCATGGTGTCCCCATGGTGCCCTCAGTGTCATCATGGGCTCCCCTGGGCCTTCAGCAGGTTCATCTCCAGGGTTTTCCATGTCACCAGGGTGTCCCCAAGGTCCCTGTGATGTCTCCATGGTGTCCCTGTGGTGTCCCCATGGTGTCCTCAGTGTCATCACGGGTTCCCCTGGGCCTTCAGCAGATTCATCTCCAGGGTTTTCAATGTCCCCAAGGTGTCACCTGGGTTTTTCCCCCAAACTCCATTTCCTGATCCCAAAATCCCCATTTCCCCCCACAAAATCTCCATTTTTTTCCCAAAACACCATTTCCTGACACCAAATCCCCTTTTTTTCCCCCAAAATCCTCATTTCCCCCCCCAGGCACTGTAACATGGTTCTGGAGAACGTCAAGGAGATGTGGACGGAGGTGCCCAAGAGCGGCAAGGGCAAGAAGAAATCCAAGCCGGTCAACAAGGACCGCTACATCTCCAAGATGTTCCTGCGCGGGGACTCGGTCATCGTGGTGCTCCGCAACCCCCTCATCGCCGGCAAGTAGGGATGGACATCTCCAGAACCTTCCGGAACCTTCTGGAACCTTCACAGATCCTCCAGAACCTTCCCAGATCCTTCAGAACCTTCCCAGATCCTCCAGAACCTCCCCAGAGCGACTCGGTCATCGTGGTACTCCGCAACCCCCTCATCGCCGGGAAATAGAAAATTCCTGATGGAAACATCTTCTGGAACCTTCCCAGATCCCTCAGAATCTTCAGAATCATCCCAGATCCTCCAGAACCTTCCCAGATCCCTCAGAACCTCCCCAGAGCGACTCGGTCATCGTGGTCCTCCGCAACCCCCTCATCGCTGGGAAATAGGGAATTCCTGATGGAAACATCTTCTGGAACCTTCTGGAACCATTGCAGAACCTTCCAGAACCATTGCAGAACCTTCCAGAACCCTCCCAGATCCTCCAGAACCTTCCCAGAGCGACTCGGTCATTGTGGTCCTCCAAAACCCCCTCATTGCTGGGAAATAGATATGGACATTTCCAGAACCTTCTGGAACCTTCCCAGGTCCTCCAGAACCCTCCGAGATCCCTCAGAACCTTCCAGAACCTTCCCAGAGTGACTCCATCATCGTGGTCCTCCACAACCCCCTCATTGCTGGGAAGTAGGGATGGACATCCCTGGAACCTTCCGGAACCTTCCAGGACCTTTCCAGATCCTCCAGAACCCTCCCAGATCCCACTGGAACTTTCCGGAACCCTCCCAGATCCCCATGGAACTTTCCGGAACCTTCCCAGATCCATCCCTGCACAACCCCCTCATCGCCAGCAAGTACGGAATGATCTCTGGAACCTTCCAGAACCTTCCGGAACCTTCCCAGATCCCCATGGAACCTTCTGGAACCTTCCAGAACCATCATAGATTCCACTGGAACTTTCCGGAACCTTCCCAGATCCCCATGGATCCTTCTGGAACCTTCCAGAACCT